TCAAATTGCCTGCTAACATGTATCAGTTCGGAATCGTCCTCGTCCATGATGGCTCCTCTGTTCGCCAACCAGTCTTGTGACCCATTCCAGCCCAGGGACAAGCCATGTACGCTCGGCAACTACGTCAGATATGCCGTCAAGGCCACGTCTGCAAAGGATGTCACAGCGACTTTAAACTTCGCCAATGAGAAGAATATACGCTTTGTCATCCGCAACACAGGTCATGACTACCTCGGTCGTTCAACCGGCGCAGGATCCCTTGCTGTTTGGACTCACTACCTAAAGGGCACCGAAGTCATCGATTGGAAGGACGATTACTATCAAGGGAAAGCTCTTAAAGTCGGCGCCGGTGTCCAAGGTTTTGAAGCACTGGCAGCTGCCCATGCCGAGAATCTAGTCGTGGTTACTGGAGAATGTCCCTCTGTCGGTCTCGCTGGAGGATATACCCAAGGAGGCGGTCATTCAGCCCTAAGCACCAATTTCGGCCTAGCAGCAGATAACACCCTCGAATTTGAGGTCGTTACTGCCGATGGAAAACTTGTTAAGGCAAGCAGAAGTGAAAACATTGACTTGTACTGGGCTTTGAGCGGCGGTGGGACAGGAAACTATGGTGTCGTAATGTCAGCTACTGTACGTGCTCATCCAGAAGCTCAAGTCAGCGGTGCCAAGTTTCTTGTCACTGCGCCTGAAGGAAGGCCAGAGCTCATATATAAGGCTATCGACGCTTTTCATGCTGCTCTTCCCAGGATCGTTGACTCTGGGGTTATGATCATCTACTTCTTCTCGGACTCATTCCTTCAGGTTCCCGCTCTGACGGCGTACGACAAGACCGAGGCCGAGGTCAAGCAGATCCTTCAGCCTCTCGCCGATTCTTTGTCTGATCTTGGTATCAAATTCGAGCCTAACTTTACGCATTTCCCAAGTTACTACGAGCATTACGATCACTACTGGGGTCCCCTCCCAGCAGGCAATATCCAAGTAGGAACACAACTCTTCGGAGGTCGCTTACTGCCACGCAACAAGCTGAAGGACTTCTCTCCAACAGCTCGGAAGCTCGCTGAGATGGGAGTCATCTATATCGGCGTCGGTCTCAACGTATCCAAATTCGGGGGCAACAACGCCAACTCAGTACTACCCCAATGGCGAGATTCCATCGTGCAGGTTTCTTTGACACTTCCTTGGGATAATGAAGCCCCATGGGAGGAGATGCTGGCTACTCAGAGGAGGATGACTGAGGAGATTCAACCTGTGATTGAGGCTGCGACTCCTGGTGCCGGTGCTTATATCAACGAAGCAGACTTTCAACAGAAAGATTGGCAAGAGACCTTCTACGGTGTCAATTATGCTAGCCTGCTGAAGACCAAGAAGAAGTACGATCCTGAGTATCTATTCTATGCTAGGGTAGCTGTCGGGAGTGAGACTTGGTCCATTGCAAATAATGGGCGTATGTGTCGGTCCCAGAGTTGAGCACGTCGCTTGGACCGATATTGTACCTTGCAGTATAGTTTAGGCTCATCAGAGGTAGTTTAGAGTCATTCCACAGCCTCTCTCAAGTATTTTCTATATATTGAGTCACTTGGAATATAGGTTCCAGCTTTTCTTGTCTCGTCTACGCTATTTATCGCCATCACTTCTAGGAACTTTCAATGTAGCATTGTTTGCACAATTATTAATTAAGAAATCTATGGTATTGTCTGGCTCGATATAGGCCATAAATTAACTACGTGACGGTGACCTCAGTCGTCTTCCTAATAACGAAACCCTCAACATCCATGTCTTCCATCTCAACTTCCGATACACCGGAGCGAGTGGATCCATTGGCTGGGACAATCTGCTCTTGCGAAGCATTTCTATCCCCCGGGGTATCGGCCCCATACATCTTCGAGGCGTAATTGGACTTTGTTGTCGTGTAGCATCTTGTCTGGGTGCTCAGGCCGTAGCGGTTGCCGGCAGCAGCTTGGTCACTATGGGTATATATCGATCGATCCTCATTGAAGCGGAGCTTGGACGCAAGGGTGTCGAAGCTGCACCCGGTTAGCTTTGGAGCGATAGAGTAGTTTCCGTGAGACTTACTATAGAACAATAGGATATAGACAGAACAGAGCGTAGAGGAACCGATCTAATTGACTGGCGATGTTGACTGCCTTCTGACCCGGAGTTTGGAACGGATGGATGATAGTTCGCACGACTCCGAGGACGGCCAAGAAAGCGACACGCATTTCGGTACTGCGTGTCAAATATCGCAAGAGACCGACTTTGAGAGCAGCGCTCATACTGGCTGTCTTGGCTGAAGCGAAAATGACGACAAGGAAATAGGCGCTGAGGCATTCGGAGATGGCCATGAAGGTGAAGTAGCCAATGTGAAGATAGTTGATGATGACTTCGAACTCAGCGACACCCTCAATCAAGAACTTGGCGCGATAGATAGCAATGAAGACTCGGGTGATTGCCGTCAAGACCATAAGAGTCCAGAACAGAATGGAAAAGACGCGCCATTGCTTCGGTCGGAGAACTCGTTGCAGGATGATATAACTGTACAGCAACAGACTCGCTTCTTGTAACTATTGACCCAGTCAGTAACATTCACTTTCAATCAGTCGAGAGGGTATCATACCAGCCAGAAGAAGTCTGAGAACACAGCGGCTACCACCTCATTGATGACAGGATTCTTCAGGTAGTAAACATAATAGCAGAGCCCATTCGCAATAGCTCCCGCTGCAGATGAAAAGATCGGCACGGCAGCTAAAACGGTAAACGTAGTAATTTCACAGACCAAAATACCAAAAACAACATTGACAAGGCAGATGGTGCTGAAGATCGACCAGCATACCTCGAAGTAATCCATGGTCGTCCGAGTCAGCCTGCCAAGCCAAGAGAAAAACTCAACTTAACTTGCGAGACACTGACAGGACGGGGGAGAGACAGCTGCGCTGATCTTATGTGTGTGCGCAGAGCGTGGCAGAGTCTAAAAGGGACTGGAGGCAGGGGACCATGGAGATGGCGTTTTCTGCTAAACCGTCTGTGTTCCTTGCCAGTCTGCGTGTGGTTAGGCTTGGCTGGGGTGGGCTGGGGTTTGACACGCGCGAAGGATGTTCCACTTCCGTCACTGGGGAAGGAGACTATTGCCGGGGAAGAGGGTTTGGTGTTCGATTCATGATCAGCTGGTATGTATCTAAGTCTGGAACATGTGGCTGAGCCTCATTAACGGTCCCAAATCGATGATCTCTTCCATTGTCTCACCCATCTGCAACCACCAGCAATACAAAAGATCCATGACGATCCTCCCTATTCCCCAACCCTTCATCTCCCATCAAACACCTCCTTCCATAAAGACAATCAGGCATTTTGGCTCGTCAATAAAGTTTGGCTAAAGTTTTGAGTCTGGGGCCTGGCATGAAATTCGTTCTAGACTAAGTCTCAAAGGGGAACTAGGCCAAGACAGGGATGAGAGTGATCTACCAACGAGATCTCAGTAATGTCGACGCTTGTGCCTCGACTGACTCGCTCCATTGCCTTTGAACGGGCGTAGACGGTTGCGGAAGAGGGAAACGGTTGGCGGGTAATCCTTGGCTCTTGGACATTCAGCTCCGGATCCATTTTACGGGGGCCCTCGGGGAAAACGATGATTTATTATGGTTCTTATATGTCACCAGTTGCTTCATTTTCGTGTCTAATACATAATAGCTTGGTATTTCTTGTTTATTGACTCCATTTTCAATTTCTCAAATTTTGGATCACCTTTTCCAAGTCAAGTGACTGACGCTTCCATCTGCTTACTTGCAAGGGTCTTTTGTCTCGATGTTCTTGGCCCTGACTCAAAATCGATGATGCAGCCAAACTGTCAGACAAACTATTTGAGCTAAAAAGCCTCCGAGTCAGCGTTCTAATCTACACAAAAGTTCGTCAAAGGAACTACAGGATTCTTTTTTCCGGCTAACAGCATCGGAATTTCCCGATCAATATACCCGCAATCATAAGACTTTGGATCGTCCTGACTCAAGCGCAAACGGTAATAATCGGGCAACTCGTATCCAGCCCAGCCGTGCGCCGTTGAACAAGAAAATCCACGTGCTCCCGAAAAAGGGGTCCCGTCTCCTCCGCAAATAGTCTTCCGAGTCGCATTGACTCGCTATCCACATCTTGGAGAACTAGTCAGATTAAGGAGAAGGGCTAGTCAGGGCCTTCGGGTGCATCTTTCCCGGCTGACGGTATCGCTCAAGAGAATCGGCCGAAAGATATTGACAGGCAGGTGATCCTTGTCCGGAAAGTTGCCCGATCATATGAGATCGTTACATCGTTTCGTCTCAAGAAGCTGTCACGATGGTCAGTGCTAAGCGAGCTGAAAATACCCTTGAAGACATCGTCACGCATCATGCATGGATGCCACTGAAGGTTTTGCAGACAACGGCTCTCTGCCCGAGTTTAATGCATGTGTTTAACAAACGAACTGTTAAATCCAAGCGAGACCCCGCAATCAAAAAGACAGTAAAGCCGGATTGTTAGATCCAAAGTGGCACGCGGAACGAGACCCTTGATAGGGTGCAAAAACGATTCGGCAAAACATCGCAAGAAAGCAGCTTGGCGCAGTGGAAGCGCGGTAGGTGATTTCGCATCCTCCCATCTCAAACATGCACTAACAATTCCCGTAGCCGGGCTCATAACCCGGAGGTCATCAGATCGAAACTGATAGCTGCTAGCTATATTTTTTTTGATATATTTTTATTTGCAACATTGTGAATTTCGCCCTTTAGATTTAGTGCTTCTTTTCGCGTTCAATTCTATCTCTCTACAGTAAATGGCATTGTGACACTGGAGGGACCGGTGTTTTACTGTATTAGCATTACAAACATCTAGGACTGAAATGTACTCGTGACGCTTTAAAGTCGCATTCAGAATAGGGACGCCATCAACAGTATCAAACATCAACGATCTGTAAAATCGCGGTCGTCAGTGTCGGCTGGCGACATCTCGCCAGATTGTGCCGCCTCTTCACCAACAATCCCCGAATAGCTCAGCTGGAAGAGCGTTCGGCTGTAATTGATAACACATCTCACCGAAAGGTCACTTGTTCGATCCAGGTTTCGGGGATTTCTTTTTGCATTTTTGCGGTTTTTATCTTGGTGTTTTTGTTCGGGCTCGCTTAACAATTTGAGGTCAATCTGCCGCAGTGACCAGCATTCAGTCAATTACCCGAGACTTAGCCACGACAGTGACCTGGTCATTTCAGCATATTCCAGGCAATAGTTAATTTTTTTTTTAAAAAAAAAATTTTGAATGACCTACATTTAAATAATGGCCTTTTTCAACGTTTTGCTCCCCAAACAGTGGTCTGTATCATCCTCGTGGCATTGAATTCTGGGTGTCGCGTTGCCAACGTCATTTTAGTTTGTTGCACTTGATACATCGCTGTTTTCAATCTCACAGCGTCTATTTACCGCAAAACACATTTAATTTCATATAAAAAATGTACTTCAAGTTAGCCATTCTTCTATCCAGAATTTCTATTATAATCTGAGTTACTTTACTCTTGTACGAGGCTCCATTTCTCAACTTCGACGCTCAACTGTAGGGTACTCTGCTGAAAATGTTGTCTTGCCATCGGAGCTAAACCCGATGCCGTTGACAGGGATCATTTGGAATTAGACCAGAAGAACAGGACTTTATCCTCGTAAGACACAAAGCTATGCAGGATCATTGGGAACAGCTTTCTAAGTATTTATGAAGGTCCAAGTTCAGTTCTGTGTGTCAAAACATATGGCTGCTATGATGCGGCCTTCTCGATTACTCCAGAACCTCGAATCCAACCAGATCAGGCGCCCAATTGCCCGAAGCCGATGCAGTGAAGGTCACTTCGTTGCTATCTCCCTTCTTGAACCCATCAACAAGAATTGTGAGCCGGTCGCTCTCAAACCAATCACCACCAGCATTCGGGAATGCCCAACGCTTTGCATCTTCTCCGTTGACCGAAATTGACATGTTTCGAGAGTTTGTCTCCCAGTCGCCGATCGTGTGATGATACTCATGGTTGATGTAATCGATGCCGAGATATACAGAACCATCTTTGGGTGCGCTTACTGACTTGAAGGCAACTTTGGCATCCTTTCCGATGGACCCGACCTTTTTGTGAGTTGGAAGACATTCTGTGTCTTTACAATCGATGAGAGAGGCTGAACCCGAGAGAGTCGCGTCTTCGGCTGAATAGTAACCCGCGGCCTTGGGAGGTGAAGCCGGACTGATGTCGGACAAGACAAGCTGTCGTAACTCATGAGGCGCAAGTTTAAACTCCTGGATACCCGAGACGGTAAGATCCTCATGAACCCAAACATCTCGAGCAGCCGCCTTCTCAACACCAATGAGAGACAGATCGACCTTCACAGTCTGCGTCTCGTTCTTCCAGTTCAAAACGCCGAGGACCTTGCGGTTGGATGACAGGTTTCCAGCCCAGATATCCCACTCTTCCTCGGTGTATCGGATAACGAGCTTCGCTGCTTCTGCTAAAGGATCTTGATTGATGGCGATGACTTCTTTGTTGGACATAATCTCGAGAGATTCGGCAGGTATTTGCTTGGCATCCATTACGCCGCCGATGATGAGAGGCGATTTCATCATGGACCAGAAGCCGAAGTGGAAACGTTCTTCATCGTGTGAAAGTGCACCAAGACCGATGCTACAGTGGTTAGCAGATGTGGAGAAGGGTCAGCGCCGTGGCTCACATTAACATGTCCATATCAGCAAAAGCGCCTGGCCCATTGTATTTGGCGTGAGCGACAACCTGGTTAGTAATGCGCCATATTGCTCTCCAGGCATTGAAAATATCATTACTCATTCGCCATGAGTTGCCTAGAGGAGCAGCCCTGATTCTTGTCAGAAGAGGAACTGCAATTTGCTGTGACAACCTACCATTGAGGAACATCTTCACCAATACCCCATTGGCAAAGAAAGTACTTGATGTCGCGATCAGTCTCATTGATAGCCGCAGCCATCTTGATGAAGCGGTTGGGGCTCTTTGCCTCAGCTGAGTCGGCGTCGACCATGTTGGTCTTGGATGTCGCGTAACAGTTGTCGTATCTGGAGATTGTCAGTAGATGCGTCTTCGGAACTGCCAGGCTATCTTACTTCAGGGTGTCGCCTCCCCATTCGGCAAATGACTTTGCATCAATCTCCTCGTAGTCTATTGTAGCCAGTTAGTGCACTGAAGAGTTTATGACTAGCTGTACGATGCACATACCAAGCGAAGCAGGAATGTCAGTTGAACCGCACTGTAAATATCCAGCTCCCGAGTAAAGACCAAACTCTAGACCCAGATCATGGATATACTCTCCAAGAGCTTTAGGACCCGACGGGAACAGAGTCTCATTCCATTGCAGTCTTCCTTTGCTATCTCGGTCTCGCGAAGGCCATCCGCAGTCGACGGTGACGATGCTGTAGCCGAGATCCTTGAAACCAAGATCAACCAACCCTTTGGCATTTATCTTGATGATGTCCTCCGACGGCCGACAGTTGTAGTGATTATAGCTATTCCATCCCATTGGTGGAGTAGGAGATTTGATGGTCTTGCCATATGCGCTGGCAAGAAGCGCGGCTAATACAAGGGAAGCCATATTGATGACGAGAGGAGAATAATCAATGCGCGCTGAGAAGCATCCCAAGGAAAGTTCTATCACTCTTATACTCGTTCTGTCCATGAAAGCGCGTATTCAACTCGGATTCCAGGCTTTTACCCATTAAACTTTTGGGTCTCAGATGCAGACGGGACGAGAATGGAAACTCATGACACCATACTCACGATTCGATAGGTGCGGCTACCTCACGAGCTAACATACGATCACAGATTCAATTGCTAATAGGTGCGCATCTTGATTTTGCGTTAAGGTATGTCGATCACCGACGCATGGGGTATTTTACCAGCGGGGAACCCCTCCCTGTTCTTGTTTGACGTTACATCCCGAAACGGGGCGAAGAGGATCAAGATTCAAGTGTACGGAAACTGAACTTGAGACCGAATGGAAGATGCACTCACGGTTTGTTAGGCGATCAAATCGTTATGCGTTCGTTGAAACGTGGAGCCATTGAGCTACCAAGTATGTCTAGAGTAGCATTGGCCATATCCACCGAGATATCTAGCACATCCTCAAGACCAAAAGGAATACTTAGTGTCGATTTTACAGTGTATACTTTGTTCCACCAAAAATCGGAGCCATCTGACCTGGCATTTCCTTCTCAATAAGCCCCTTAAACCTCCATCCAGTACAATGTCCTGGCATCAGCAAAGCCGGCTCGAGATCCTTGAGATCCTTCATGCTCTGCTCCATCTTATCAGGTGACGCATCTGCGAGGTGGTAGCCGCCAATGATGGCGTAGATAGGGCTGTCATCGATGGTTTTCGCATGCCTGGCAATGTTAATGAGGCCGGCGTGACTGCAGCCAGTGAAGATGACCAGGCCCTTGCCTGCAAAGACGTTAGATGCGGTGATTGATTGAGTGATGAGAGGGACTCACCTTTGAGCTTACACATGACAAACCGCTCTTCCATGATCAACTCGTCCTTGATCCATTCATCCTCGGCCGGATCATATCGAACACCACCTGGGATGCCACCTTCATACTCTGTCTGGCGCGGAATCTCTCCAGATATGAGAAAGGCATCATCTAGAATGGTTCGTGCCTCATCCAAGACAACTGTCTTGCCACCGGCACTATTGATCTCATCCACAGTAGGATCTGCCTCTAGCGAAATAGGTTGATCGAACATAATTCCTCTGAATGCTGGCTTATCTGGAGGAAGCGCAACAATGACCTGATCGCCATCTGACCTCCCGCTGCTGGCGAGCCGAATCGCCGAGAGAAGCCCACCAGAGTGATCTCTATGCCAATGCGAAAGAACAATAGCACCTATGTCAGTCATTGGGAGCTTGAGTCTCTGGACGTTTTTCTCGAAAACGTCTTCCTCGGGTCCGGCGTCGAAAAGCAGCGTGTGAGACTTATCGTCCTTCTTCGCTGTCTGTCAAGGGTTTAGTACACGGTACTGGCAGTAGAGAGGAAAATCTCACGATAAACAAGGACAGGCCATGAGCGCCGCAACAAATGTTTCGCATTGGCATTTCCAATCGAGCTCCTCCTCGGGAGCTGGGGTCCGACACGGGACTCAATGGGACACCAGCAAAGGATTGAGCATGTTGAACGCGATGATTTGGGCTCGGCGAGATTTGATCGATCTCATCGTTGATTAAGACATGAATGTCGAGGCTGTCGACTTCAATGAGTGAGGGCCGTTCTGACGTCATACTGAGAGACAGAGCATTGGATGTGGTATTTCATTCTGATGCTCAAGCGGGCGAGGATGTGTGTTATGAAGACCTTTCTGAAGCCATCGTATCATGCCAAGTCCTTTCTGAGTCATGAAATACGATGTTTGCGGCGTTCGGCTATTGACAATGTCCGAGACGTCCTACTGCCTCCATAATCGCAGCAATGTTGTATGGCAGCCCGATATTCATGATGATGTATTACAAATATTCTAGTAGCCTTAAATCAGACGGAGAATAAACAATAGGCCGAGGAAGAGGGCTTCTTTGGCGATCCCTCATACTCATGATCTCGCTGAGTAAGACTCACAAGACCGTGTGATGCCGAGGCTAAAAATACCCCTCATAACTCCGAATACAGCAAAACACCGACCAGCATCGCGCAACCATTTGTGAGAGGAACAGTATTATTTCTCTCAAATTCAGTAATATCCAATTTTTACATCATGTCTCCATCGCCTCACGCCCCAGTTATTATTGGTGTCGGAGAAATCCGCCAAAAGAATTTCATCCTCGAAAATACTCTCGAACCAGCAGAGCTTATCTTATCAGCTATTCGCGATGCAGCAAAAGATACAGCTGTCGATGTAATTGACCACGTAGACAGTATTTCTGTTGTTCCTCCGTGGTCCTGGACATATGATGATCTACCAAAGCATCTTGCTCAGAAACTTGGTGTTCAACCTTCTCATCTTGAGCTTTCAAGTCATGGAGGACATACGCCTGCGTTGCTGTGCGACGCGGCAGCTGCAAGAGTTGCGGCAGGGGAATCAAAGCTAGCCG